AATCAGTCATGACTATATAATGAAGCCTCCATAAAAACCGTAGGCTGGGTTCGAAGAGCTTCTGGATAGCGTACACGTGAGGATTCTCACCTCTACTTGCTGGGAGAGTGGCTGAATAAAAGAGAGGAAGGATCTCTTTCTGTCTCCAGATTTCTTTCCCTCCTTTTGTCTTTTCGGGCCAACATGTGGTAATTGCCTATATATATGATACTAGTTTCAGGATACTGCACTATCCCATATGGTTTCTTAATATGTTACTCACTCTTTTACAAACCTCTTTATTAAACAATTTTCAAAGTACTCAATTTGTGTGACATATCTCTTTCCTGATGGGACACTGGCTAACACACTGATTTCTTCTATCTTATATGCTAGTGTAATGTACAGACATTAAATTAAAATAGGAATAAAATATTTTTCAATATATGAACATTGTTGTGGAGTTTAAGAACCTGATCTAGTAAAAGTGAATGGCATCAGAAGGCATAATATGGATTAGAAATAAGGGAATGCCTCCTTGAGGAGGTGCCTAATTTTAAGTGAAGAACGAATAGGAGTTACCCAAGGAGAGGCTGGTCAGACAAACACTGTGGGCCGAGGGAATAGCAAATGCAAAGCTGCAGGAGTATCGGATCAAGTTAGACAGGTCAATCCCTGCATATACTTTCTAATCCTGCTCTGATAATTTTATTAATTCATGAAGTTTTCAGGCAAAATATGAAATGCACTGATTTCTTTTCAAAAGTATAGTTTAGCAATTCTGCGGTGAATGTAATAAGGTTTTCTTTTGATAGATCAAATAATACCAATTTACACTATCAATTTTACCTACAAATTTCTTTTGCTATTTTTCTTTGTACTATTCCAAGGAATATCTGGGATCTCAAGTTCATTTTTCTGTTGGCCAGTTTTGAGTCCAGATATCAGTCAGTCTGCCTTGTAAACAACCAGAACTCCTCCTAGGTGCTTAAACTCGCACACAATCTAGCTTTTCTGATAAGTGAAGCTGTGCCAACAGTTAGCCTGATATAAAAATTACATTTTTTTTTTTTAAAGATGACTGGTAAGGGGATCTTAACCCTTGGCTTGGTGTTGTCAGCACCACACTCTGTGAAGTGAGCAAACCGGCCATCCCGATATAGGATCCGAATCTGTGGCCTTGTTGTTCACCACACTCTCCCAAGTAAGCCATGGGCCGGCCCTAAAAATTACATTCTTTTGTCCTTAGTCAAGCATCCTCATTATCCACAACCACATATATTTCCCAGATTTTGTCATTATTAATTATCTAAATCATGCAGTAAACACTTCACATATTAGGTTTGGCTTTACAATTGTTCCTTAAAACAAATGAGTGACAGTGACTCCATCCAGTAATAGGTATGAAGACAAGGGGGTGTAGAGTGGAACATGAGGAAAAAGTGTATTTTAAAAACTGTATGTGTTTTATAAATGTATCTTTTAAAAATATGTATTTTAAGTGTGACCCCCATTTTCAGGAATCTTTGGTTATTGACTTTTAACTATTGTAAACACTATTTGAATAACAAGTCTAGTTTTATTCTTTCTCATTTGTTATGTTAATGAAATCTGATCATGATACTCTCCTGCTAAAACCTTTCAACATCTCCCTTTAACATTTTCACACAAGTTTCTACACACCTTAGACCAAACTGTAAGACTAGGTAGTTAAGAGAAGGTGGTTATGTGTGGGTTCTGTGTTGAGGCAGATAATATCCTGATGTATAGCTTTATTTCCTACAATTGAGATTCTGATTGGGTAAACATCACCATACTTTCTCTTCTAAATTAGAATTGCAACAACATCCACCTTAAAGGGTTGTGAAAATTAAATAAACACATTCATATTATATATGTAGCCCATAAGTAGTATATCTCTTCCACGTTTCCATTAAAGGGTCACTCTCCTCTACTTTAGGCCTCAAATATTCATTTTGAAGCTTCCACATTATGGGACAAAGCTGGATTACTTCCTAGTACTGCAAAAGTGAAGAGATTGCTGGATCCGGAGGAGGAAGAGAATGTCAGTAGAAGATCCTCCCATATCCCTTTTAAAGTTGTTTTATGCCACCTTCCATTTGCAATGATTGGGGTATCTAAAACTCTTACATGAGTTTCAGATTAATAAAGACATATAGAAGTCTGTAAGTTTTCTCATTTTTCTAGAAAGAAAAAACATCCTCTGAATTCCTGGATGGAAGTAAAGATACACTACCAGCTATGAACGCTGAAGTCAGTCTCCCAGTACCGTCATAGACATTTCTCAACGTTGGCATTTACATTTATGTAAATATGTCATAGATGTGGAAATACACTTTCCCAGATCCTCCTTTGATGCCAAACTGCTGAGAGCAGTTAGCAGATAGGCACCAGCTGTCAGTTCTTTTAGTGTTTGCCTCAGCTGCAGAGCTCCACCCTACTCAGGGCAACGCCCTTCCCTGGGGCAGTCCTCCTCCAGTGACCAAAGTGGGAATGTACAGGCTGGTTCAAAGCCTTTTTAGCTCAGTGCAGAGTAGCTGACCAGCAATTCTGGTTTCAGAGCTCTCCATTGGGTTGGTTGAGCATTTGTCTGACTTGTATCAGTTTGACATTTTTTCTCTGCCCAATCCTAGTTCCTCTGTCTTCCTTCACAGATACTGATGCCAAATAAATATTTTGCATCCCAAACTTCATCTCACAATCTGCTTACAGAGAACCCAACATGTATCACTATATCACCATAATTTTTCTTCCTGTGTCTCCTGCGTTTCACCGTTATTTTATTGAACAGGGCTTTTGCAAGCAAAGACGGAGTGGCAAAGAAATCTGTATTAGATTATAAACTATGTCCTCTTAAAGTATTTCGGTTTGTGAACCACAGAAAGCTAATACTATTTTTTATGTTGTCTTTTGTGAAAAGGTGGTTTGGATTCTATAGCTTTTTCTGTCTAGCTATGTTATCAAATTTATCCAGATCAGGATTGCTGTTTCTTTTGATTACTTGTCCACATTAACTTACACACCCTAAAAAGGTGTGTAATGGGTGTTATGGGTTTTCCCGTACCTGATAAAAGAATTTCTTTTTTTCTTTTTAAAGATGACCGGTAAGGGGATCTTAACCCTTGACTTGGTGTTGTCAGCACCATGCTCACCCAGTGAGCGAACCGGCCATCCCTATATGGGATCCGAACCCGTGGCCTTAGTGTTATCAGCACCGCACTCACCCGAGTGAGCCACGGGCCAGGCCCAAAAGAATTTCCATGTAAGATTTTCTAGGCTGTTCACTGTTGCATCCTGAGCTACTGGAAGATGCATTAAAGATACACGTGTCCAGAAAAACAGGAGTAAGGATTTATCTATATGGGATTCAGAAAGTTCTGCATATTTTTAGTCAATAAACCACAGGCTAGTAACTGCCAGTAGAATTAAGTCCTATAAAAAACAAATGGGCATTGAGAGATTCTGATCATCTGGCAAGTCATTCTTTAGATTAACTAGACAGTTTAAGAATCAGGCTGCTCCTTTCCAGATCGTTAATACAGTACTCAAAGTTACTCACTTTGCTTAAGGAGTAACTGGTACACTTTATACTTGCAGTTACATCCCAATACCACTAATAAAGTTATCAGACTAGATTAAATTGGGTTTCAGGGATTTACAAGTTTGGCTTCACCTGCTACTCCTCTTGAGTAAGCCTCTCTGGTGCATATTACTCCCTGTCAGTCTCCGTTCTCTTCCAGTTGATCAGATTACAGCTGGAAATACTGTTAGTTCTTCCACCCCCTCCCAAAAAGCAAACACTTAAATGTAACTTTCAGTTAGACATACAATAGATTACGTGTACCAGCTTTTTCTAAAGCACTGTAGGTGGCTCTGAAAAGAGCCTTTGTTTTCCAGTGTTCCCAACCTCACTCCTCATTTGGCCTTGTGGTGACTCTCAGTCTTCTTGGGCAGCAGCACGGCCTGGATGTTGGGCAGGACGCCGCCCTGAGCGATGGTGANACTTTTTGGGGAATCTAGTCTGGCCCGATCTTCCTCCAAAGGACTCCTGTTCCCCAAAACATGTCATCAACAACACTGAAGGGGCTTGAACAGGCCCAGATGTTAGTTTGAAATATTCTAAATTCAGTCATATAGGAAACTAAACATATCTCAGGAAATAAGGGACGGGGTGAGCAGGGGAGAGGGATTTCTTTTATCACTTTAGACAACACAGGTTGCATTAACCTGAATTAACCACGGTACCTCAATGCAACGGTGAGGTTCGATTTTGTGTTAGGAAGAGGGAAATACACACCACAGTGCAAGTTAACAGGAAACCACCCTGTCAAAACAGACGCGGGGGCGGGAAGATATATGTAGGAATTCAAATGCCAGCTCCGATACTTGCTAGAGGGCTCATTAACACTGGAAGTTAAGACTTCCCAAATTCTTATTTACAGGGTCTTTACGGTTTTAAAAACCTTAAACTTGGGCCGGTCCGTGGCTCACTTGGGAGAGCGTGGTGCTGACAACACCAAGTCAAGGGTTAGGATCTCCTTACCGGTCATCTTTAAAAACAAAAACAAACAAAAACCTTAAACTGTACTAAGAAACCCGCTAATGGGGCCTAACGAAGACAAGAAACAGGAAAGATTGCAGAGAAACAGCTCTTTTCAGGGGGTTTGTGGGTAGCTCTAAAAAGAGCATTTGGGGTTGTGATTGGAAGTCTTTGAGGTTCAGGCCCTCTCGCCGCGAATACGCCGCGCAAGCTGGATGTCCTTAGGCATGATGGTGACGCGCTTGGCGTGGATGGCACACAGGTTGGTGTCCTCAAACAGCCCCACCAGGTAGGCCTCGCAGGCCTCCTGCAGCGCCATCACGGCCGAGCTCTGGAAGCGCAGGTCGGTCTTGAAGTCCTGCGCGATCTCGCGCACCAGGCGCTGGAACGGCAGCTTGCGGATCAGCAGCTCGGTGGACTTCTGGTAGCGGCGGATCTCGCGCAGGGCCACGGTGCCGGGCCGGTAGCGGTGGGGCTTCTTGACGCCGCCGGTGGCCGGCGCGCTCTTGCGCGCTGCCTTGGTGGCGAGCTGCTTGCGGGGCGCCTTGCCGCCGGTGGACTTGCGAGCCGTCTGCTTGGTCCGGGCCATGACAAATCTCCTGAAACAGGCAGCTGATGGAGAAATGAAAGCATAGGCACTTCTACCTGTATATATAAACAGGGTCCTCTTCTGATTGGACAAAGCAGTAGTTCCCCTGCAGCTCGCAGCTAAGGCATTGGCGGCGACGTTCACTTTGTGATCACAGGCAGATATTAACATGTTCTTCTATTCCTCTCCTTTAAAGTGCTGGTGTTTTCAACCCTTTTGTACGTCTCATTAAAAAAGTTGGCTTTTTTCCCTAGAATTTTATGTAGTTACTAAGATGATATCATCTTGCTTGCTACATAATATTTAAATGTTAGCGCTTGAAACTGACTTTATTTTGATAATCTTTGAAAAGGCGCACGCCATATATAATTGGCCAAGTGGCTTGTTTTACCCTTACTGAAGTTTAGGAAGGCTTCCACCATATCTTGGCTTCATTTAAACTTTGGGTTTTTTTTCTAAAGACTTGTTCCAGTGCACCATGACCATTAACTCTGAAGTAAAAATGCCACACCTGTTATTAAACTATGTTAACATACTTTTTCACTAAAATTTAGTATCCTCACATAAAAGTACTCTCCTTTCTTTTACGATTCAACTCGTGTAAATCGGTGTGTAAAAAAAACCCCCAGACTTTATAAGTGTCACAATTACTGTATGCCCTATCAAAATCATTCTGAACTCAACAAGCTCTGCCTCAGGGCGATCTGAGTCCAGGGAATGTAGTTTTGTATTCCTATTTACAATTAGTTATGCTGGCTTCTCAAACAAAACAAAACAAAACAAAATACCGTTAAGTGCAGATGATTTTGTCCCATTAGGATGCAGAACAATTCCTCCCGAAAGGTAACACGACAAAGGCGCAGATTTATTACTCTGTAGATCACTAACTAGATGCACATCTTAAACATTGGCCAATCATTAGTCTTCCCATTATATTTCCAATTGTTTAATTTTTACAATCCTGAGAACCTACAGTAACGGCCAACGTTAGTTATCTGTGATACAAGCTTTTCCTTTGTTTTCCTTACTTTTTAAACTTTAAAATGGTTCGTTTCACGTTTCTGAGTGAAAATAGTTGACGACCTACAGAGTGGAAGAGTTACGCTAAGGTTTACTGTAGAGTTAAAAAAAAATGTAAGCCCTTTTAATGAATACGTGGGTGGCTCTGAAAAGAGCCTTTGGTTAAGACTGACTCCTTCAAGGCCTAAGATACTGATTTTCCCACCTTACTTGCCCTTGGCCTTGTGGTGACTCTCGGTCTTCTTGGGCAGCAGCACGGCCTGGATGTTGGGCAGGACGCCGCCCTGAGCGATGGTGACTTTACCCAGCAGCTTGTTGAGCTCCTCGTCGTTGCGGATGGCCAGCTGCAGGTGGCGCGGGATGATGCGCGTCTTCTTGTTGTCGCGGGCCGCGTTGCCCGCCAGCTCCAGGATCTCGGCGGTCAGATACTCCAGCACCGCCGCCAGGTACACCGGCGCGCCGGCTCCCACCCGCTCGGCGTAGTTGCCCTTGCGGAGCAGGCGGTGCACACGGCCCACGGGGAACTGCAGCCCGGCCCGGGAAGAGCGGGTCTTGGCCTTGGCGCGAGCTTTGCCGCCTTGCTTCCCGCGTCCAGACATGTTGGAGAAAGAACTGTAGGTGTTGAGACAACCTAACGTGAGTCCGCCAGAGCTGCACTACTTATAGTCATTAGTGGGCGCCAAAATGAAGCTATGCCACTGGCTAAAATTACCGTTTCATCTAAACCAATGAAATCGTGGTTTTGAAATACCTTTATTTTGATTGGACAAAGTTAATATATGACGTTTCCAGGAGTCAACACTAATCAAACACAACTTTACTCCTCACCTCCTTTGCTTAAAAAGCTGTGAACAGAGGACACTTCCAGAGCCACACGCGCCACACGCGTCTCTCCTGTTATTTTTGAGACCTTCAACTGTCCCCCCTCCCACCATGCCTGAGCCCTCAAAGTCAGCTTCGGCTCCGAAGAAAGGCTCCAAGAAGGCGGTGACCAAGGCGCAGAAGAAGGACGGCAAGAAGCGCAAGCGCAGCCGCAAGGAGAGCTACTCCGTGTACGTGTACAAGGTGCTGAAGCAGGTCCACCCCGACACCGGCATCTCGTCCAAGGCCATGGGCATCATGAACTCCTTCGTGAACGACATCTTCGAGCGCATCGCGGGGGAGGCGTCGCGGCTGGCGCATTACAACAAGCGCTCGACCATCACGTCCAGGGAGATCCAGACGGCCGTGCGCCTGCTGCTGCCCGGGGAGCTGGCCAAGCACGCCGTGTCCGAGGGCACCAAGGCCGTCACCAAGTACACCAGCGCCAAGTGAACAGCTCCTTTATATAAAACCAAAGGCTCTTTTCAGAGCCACTCCACTACCTCAGAAAGAGCTGGTGCACGTTGGCGGACGGAGGGGGTGTTTATTTAAAGGAAAATGTGGGTAACCCTGAAAATAGCCTCTTGCAAATGAAAACAGAACTATGAATACAACGTAGGGTTCTTCCCTGGCGCTCGAGCCCTAAACACAGCAGTGACTTTTGCGCTTTGCGTGCTCCGTTTAAGTGACGGCGCCTAGGATCACGTGCTCCAAAAACACCGTGAGGGCACTGAGTTTTCTCCCAGATGAGGCCAGATGCGTACTTGGCGCCACCGCAGAGAGCCAGCAGACGGATCCCGGGCTTGGTAAGCCTTCGCAAGCATCTTACGGTGGTGTTTACCACCCCCCTTACCTAGTCCCTTCCCACCATTGCCACGACCAGACCTAACGCCTAAGCAAAACGACATACCTAAAGAAAATCAAAAGCGGAAAGAAGACTGGCCTTTTATTTAAATTTTTCGGACCAAATTGAAAACTAATGAACTTGGGCGGGCAAGCCTCGCAATTCTAGCCCCGCCCCCTTTCTCTGTCGCACACAAAGGTGGAGGAGGAGATATTAGCCCAGA